TTGAGGTTTTCCAAGAACCTCACCAACTGCCAAACCATCCCTCTCGACATTGTGGACTTAAAAATTCAAAAAATTCGTGAAAATAAATGGATGATCATCTCACCTCAAAACACAGTGGCCCAAAGAATCTGCGGACAAGACAGTGACAATGTCCCATTAGAAGGAACATTTTTGTTAGAATTAATTAATAAGTGTAGTGTTAGAATAGGTAAAATAGTTCTACGTAGTAACGAACTGCCAAAAAGTGAATTTAAAATAATAGAACTTCCTAAAGTTAATATTAAAAACTCTGATGATAAAAATCCTATTTACCTAAAACCTATTAAATTGAACAGTATTGATTTGGAACAATTAACCACTCTAAAAGACTCTCTAAATTTTCAAAAACAAAAAGTAAAACGTATTTTTGATAATCCAATCCATTTTAACAATATTAGTGTTTGGACTATATTGATTTATATTTTTATTGCATTTTGTTTGTTATTTTGCATTTATTCATATAGAAAATATAGGAAGAATTCATCGAAGAAGAGCTCCAAGGAAGAAAATCCAGAGGCCAGCCCCCGGATTCTCCTCTAAGGGTGGAAGAGTTATGATAACACAATCATAGGGAACACAAGTAGAAATATGCAGACGCGGCAAGTCCAAGATAAGGCCCCACCAAGATCTAGCGGCAACAAAACTAGTTCGTGGCCGGCATTTTCTAGCTTTTACATTTTAACTTTTGTATCATTAAGACCTAAAATAAAGTTCCGCTTTTTGTAAAGTTTTTGATATTTTTTAAAAAACCAATTTTTAATAGCGAACCTAAAAGTTGTGTATGCTCTATATATCTACATATATCCTACAAAATATAGAGTACGAGTATATATTAAAATTAGATTAAACGGCACCATACTTGATTGCAGCGGAAAATATTCTGTTTATAAAGATTCCATCAAATTTACAAATGGTGGTCCTCGTAACCCAGATGTAGAACTGGAAATCAGAGTCGGTCCTCCTATTACTGCTTAGGTACGTTTAACTTAATTAGGTCCTTATAACAATTTTATAAGTCCTAATACATATGGGCTTGTTTGGAGACCTCATAAGACATGTTACATATATATTTTGTGTATGTTATGTGTACATATATCTTACAAAATATGGAGTGTATATTAAAATTAGTTTAAATGGCACCTACTCAATTGCAATGGAAAAGATTGTAATAGTTATAAAAGTTGTAACAACTTTATAAATGGTGGTCCTCGTAACCCAGATGTAGAATCGGAAATCGGGGTCGGTCCTCGTTTTACTGCAAAAGTCCGTATAGGTGTGTGTGTGTGTGTGTGTGTGTGTGTGTGTGTGTGTGTGTGTGTGTGTGTGTGTGTGTGTGTGTGTGTGTGTGTGTGTGTGTGTGTGTGTGTGTGTGTGTGTGTGTGTGTGTGTGTGTGTGTGTGTGTGTGTGTGTGTGTGTGTGTGTGTGTGTGTGTGTGTGTGTGTGTGTGTGTGTGTGTGTGTGTGTGTGTGTGTGTGTGTGTGTGTGTGTGTGTGTGTGTGTGTGTGTGTGTGTGTGTGTGTGTGTGTGTGTGTGTGTGTGTGTGTGTGTGTGTGTGTGTGTGTGTGTGTGTGTGTGTGTGTGTGTGTGTGTGTGTGTGTGTGTGTGTGTGTGTGTGTGTGTGTGTGTGTGTGTGTGTGTGTGTGTGTGTGTGTGTGTGTGTGTGTGTGTGTGTGTGTGTGTGTGTGTGTGTGTGTGTGTGTGTGTGTGTGTGTGTGTGTGTGTGTGTGTGTGTGTGTGTGTGTGTGTGTGTGTGTGTGTGTGTGTGTGTGTGTGTGTGTGTGTGTGTGTGTGTGTGTGTGTGTGTGTGTGTGTGTGTGTGTGTGTGTGTGTGTGTGTGTGTGTGTGTGTGTGTGTGTGTGTGTGTGTGTGTGTGTGTGTGTGTGTGTGTGTGTGTGTGTGTGTGTGTGTGTGTGTGTGTGTGTGTGTGTGTGTGTGTGTGTGTGTGTGTGTGTGTGTGTGTGTGTGTGTGTGTGTGTGTGTGTGTGTGTGTGTGTGTGTGTGTGTGTGTGTGTGTGTGTGTGTGTGTGTGTGTGTGTGTGTGTGTGTGTGTGTGTGTGTGTGTGTGTGTGTGTGTGTGTGTGTGTGTGTGTGTGTGTGTGTGTGTGTGTGTGTGTGTGTGTGTGTGTGTGTGTGTGTGTGTGTGTGTGTGTGTGTGTGTGTGTGTGTGTGTGTGTGTGTGTGTGTGTGTGTGTGTGTGTGTGTGTGTGTGTGTGTGTGTGTGTGTGTGTGTGTGTGTGTGTGTGTGTGTGTGTGTGTGTGTGTGTGTGTGTGTGTGTGTGTGTGTGTGTGTGTGTGTGTGTGTGTGTGTGTGTGAGTGTGTGTGTGTGTGTGAGTGTGTGTGTGTGTGTGAGTGTGTGTGTGTGTGTGTGTGTGTGTGTGTGTGTGTGTGTGTGTGTGTGTGTGTGTGTGTGTGTGTGTCTGTATGTCGCATAACTTATGAACAGATACACAGAAAAACACCAAATTTTAAACTTCAGCTTTATTCCAGCGTCTAATGAACGTATTAGATTTTGGGCAGAGTCGGAACATCTGGGGGGGTACTTTATAGGTGGTCATTTTTATATTTTATGGAATATATCTGTTATTTACGTTTGGAGAAGAAAATTCTTCAAATAATAATACTTCTTATATGATTATCTATAATTTTTGTTCTATAGAAAATTTTCCTAAAATGGTCCGTATTCGAGAAATTTGACAAAATGTAAAAAAATATTTTTTTATAAAAATTGTTCAAATAAAAGTTGTTTGTAATATAATTCTCTATAATTTTTATTCTAAACATAATTTCTCTAAAATGGACCGTATTCGAGATATTTGAGAAAATGTGTAAATTTCGAATTTTGAAGAAAACTCAAAAACGGATAAAGAAAAAACATTAAATTTTAAACTTAAGGTTTATTTCGGCCTGACGTGAAATGATTAGATTTTGGATAAAGTCGGAACATCTGGGGGGTACTTTATGGGAGGCCGTTTTTATATTTTATGAAATATATGTTATTTATGTTTAGAGAAGAAAATTGTTTAAATAAAAGTTACTTCTAATATTATTATCTATAATTTTTGCTTTATGTCAAAATTTCCTGAAATGGTCCATATTCGAGAAATTTGACAAAATGTGCAAAATTCTGATTTTTATGAAAATTGTTGAACTAAAAGTTGTTTGCGATATCGATATCTATAATTTTTGTTTATACATGATTTTTCTAAAATGGACCGTAATGGAAAAGTGCTAAATTTAAATTTTTCAGTATTTTCGTTTTCAATGAATATCTATAGAAAAATGTTTCGAGGTAGATGTATGTGGACAATGTGTATGTATTTAGTTTATCCTCTAAACATTTATAGAGATGCTGCAATAGGTTGTACAAAATAACCAGAAAAAGCCTATAATAACTAGATAGGAAAGTCATGTGTTGGACACATCAGATTTTTTTGTAAATGCATGCGACACCATCATTCGAGTTAAATCCTCACCGCTACATCAGTCTGACACTGTTTATCAGTACCTCTAGTATTTATAGATAGGACATATTTCTATAACTTCAAATTCATTAGAGATAACCTACAAAATAAAACAATTAATCATACAAAATTGTACTAGGGTCAAGAAATTATCCTTGTTTAAATAAAATATGTATATAATAAAATTGTCATACTTGTGAAATACCTTCTGGTACAATGTATAATGATTTTTCTTGGCTGGCAACTGCAATTTAATATCTGTTTAAAGTTAAGTATTTTATGTCATTGCCATAAGAGACCATTTCTTAATGGAACTCAGTCATCGCTCAATTTTGATGGTTTTCGTATAAAAGAGTATCCATTTACGCAGTTTTCTGTTTTAGAGTTGGGTATAAAACACATGACTATTTTGTAGAAACAGAAACGAAACTAAATATAAATAAGCAACATAACCTTAAAAATAATAGTAAATGTTTTTCCTGAAGCTTGGGAACGTATCTCGTTAACAATCATTGAACTGACATAAATACTTCCGATTTATTAAATTCGCAGTTTTATTTAAACACGGTTTTTAAATAAACACAATTAAAATTGTTTTATGGTGAATTTTAAATTTTGCCAGCTTGATTGGAAACATCACGATATAATAATGTAGAGAGGACATAAACACTATTTTGCGATATGACAAGTGAACGCACTTTGAGCCGTATTTTGATTAATTTGAAAATTGACTGAATGAAAGTGTTTTTATATCATTTAAGGCATGCTATTTAAAAAAATTATATTTATTCTTACTATAACTGACTAGCTTCATCTTTCGAGTTTGACATATGACGTAAAACTGTGCACTTAGTATCGTCATAGTATCTCCTCTTTATTTTATATCAATGATTGAAAAGTTTGTATGCCTCGCCCTACTTTATGACGTCACTGTATGCGTTGCGCAAATTAAACTAATTTAAGTAATTTTATGTTTGTATAACTACGTTTTACGGATCTGTTGATGTTTGACATCTCTTTTTAGCTAAAGACTTTCGAAAACACTTCTCACTTCCTCGGGATCACTTATAAAAGAGCGCCACGGAAAAGCGATTAACAAGAGCGCAGTGGCGTACCCAAAAATAGAAATTTACACATATGAAAACAATAAAATTATTAAAATTAAATTAATATTTTTATGTTATTTATTTTAAAATAATGTGTTTTTATGAAATGTAACTGGATTTTCACTGCACAAATGAACCAATGGAGCAACCGCCCCTGTAGCTAAATATATTTGTATATTTTAGGTTTAGATCCCTAATATACCAAATATTTAACTTAAATCTGTAACTATATATTATGGAACGCTAACTATGGAAGACGTAAACAATATTAGAAAAATTAAATGGGCTTCTTTTGATACTATACATTTTTACGAAAAGCCTATTTATAAAAACGTTCCTCCATTTTGAGAATCATATTATCACTTTTAATGACAATTTCTAAATTTTTATAGGATTCTGCAGAAAGCTCAAAGGAAAAAGTTGACTATTGATATAAATTGCATGGACAGCCTTGGACGTGGAGCCCTAACTATAGCCATAGACCAAGAAAATTTAGAAATGGTAGAGCTGTTGGTGGTTATGGGCGTTGAAACAAGAGATTCGCTCCTTCATGCTATTAACGTAGAATTTGTAGAAGCAGTTGAATTATTGTTGGAACATGAAGAACTTATTCATGAAGAAGGGGAACCGTACGTAAGTCGTGTCAATATTTTTTTTGTAATATAAAATTATTATTAAAATGTTGCTTGCTTAAACTTTACGCAAGTATGATATCATTTTGTGGGTCATTAATATACTAATGTAAAAAAACTTAGTAAGCGAAATCCAATTCAATGGGCCATGTTCACATGTGAGATATGCTGTTTTATAAATTATATTGTAACAGTTAGTCGTCCTACAAGTTATTCTACATAATCAGTTTGTTAAAAAAGTTTTTCAATTAAAACCAATTTAAATTTAAAATTTGAAATTTGTACGTCATCGGGAATAGACTAATCAGCTTGCGTCAAAGTTTTTTTCTTCTGGAAACACTGGACCTACAGATAGGGATATTGCGATACTACTGATATGATACTGGAATCGATACTTATCTTTCGATACCGGGTAATTTAGTACCCGATACCTTGCTTTCGATACTTTACTCATATGGGTACTACTTTTGTTTCGATAATAATACTTTCGTTTCAATATTTTACTAGTTTTGACTGACTTAGTATATTGTAGGATCACTTTATGGTGAGTTAGGTTGTCGGCGTACCCTATGACCTTTTTTGAGGTTGTTCTACACTCTTCCCGATATCAATATCGATACTTTTGTTCCGATACCCTTTCGATACAGGTATCGATACTTTGGTTCCGATACTCTTTTCGATTTCAGTATCGATACTTTTCTGGTATCGCAACATTCCTACCTACAGTCCTCTTTTGAAACAAATTGTCCATGCGACTTTTCAAAGCTTGTTAAAACAACTAAAGCGACATGAGGACCTTTTTTAGAAAATATTTAAACCTATCGTCACCCATTGTCCTTCATTTATATTTCAGGTGGTAACTCTAGTTATCGCCCAAAAATATTGCGGCTCAACTCTAATTATCAACCAAAAATATTGCGGCCCGTATAGCATAACAAAACGATTTATGTGGCCCGAAAGAAAAAAAAGTTGGGTACAGCTGGCCTAGAGTTTTCTTTTAAAGCGTCTTCAATAGTATTTATTTTTTTTAGTTCTGTAAATCTTAATGCACAACGCATATGTTCACATGATGATTCATGTTTATGTAGGCCGCGAGTTACGTTCACAAAATCACTAAAACCGTCTTTATTCCATACATTTGATTTTACACCTACTATCAACAGGGTACGCAAAAAAGCTTATTTATATAAAAACTATGGAACAACAAGTTCAAAAAATAGAAGAATTAACAAAAGAAATAAAAAACATTAAATTAACAACAAATCACAACAGTCAAATACAAGAATCAGTTATTGGTAATATGAATAATAAAAACAAAGTTGAAAACACAACTGAAAATAGACAAATCAACAGCTACGCATCCGTTTCTGGAAGGGAATCAAATCAACAAAATGAGTACAAACAAATACAAAATATCTCAGTTACAAAAACAAATGCAAGTAACTCACTTAAGTCAAAACAACGTACTCAGGGACATTTACAAAACAAATATCTACAAAGTCCAAATTCCATAGGAAACAGTAATGGTAATATAACTCCCTCTAGAAATACAACAAACAATCTCATGGCGGACCAAGCTGAAAAAATGACCAATATTATAAATATAAATAATGATGAGGGTGACAATTTCAAATTGGTAACTAAAAGAAATAGAAAACGTAAAATGGGAAGTGGTATGGGAGAAGATGCTTTCCAGGGAAAAAATGAATCTTTAAGAAAGATATGGCTTTTTTTAACAAGAGTTCCTGAGACTATTAAAGAAAGTGACATAAAAGCGTTTATACATAAAAAAAAGAGGTACACCAAACTAGCATTGAAGATATAGAAGTGACAAAATTACATACAATCACAACAAAAAACAATAATCAGTCCTTTATAATTGGTGTAAATCCATGTCTGCAAGAAGATGTATATCAGTCAAATTTCTGGCCAAGAAAAATTGCATATGAAAGATTTGATTTTAGAAGAGGACAAAGATTTCTAAACTCCCAAAAGTAAGACCTAGAAGCTAGCCAACCAGGTTCGTTTTTAGATGGATATTGACAGAAAACAACACCAACAACAGTTTTGAGAAGACAAAGGTGGAAACTAACATTAGCATACCAGAAATTCAGGGAAAACAAGTCATAAAAATAAAACCAGTAGCTTTAAATCTAAATTGTATGCATATTAACATACAAGGTGGTTTTGCTAAAAAATGCTTTGATATGAACCTAATATTACAGAAAGAAAATATAAGTATCCTATGTGTAACTGAACACTGGCTTAATTCCAATTACTTGCAGGTGAGTTGTATTGAAAACTTTACATTAGTGTCACATTTCTCACGAACTAGAAAAGAGAGAGGGGGAGTTTGTACATTTATTAGTTCCGACTTATTAGCTACCATACACTATGAACCTATAAATTTAAAAAAATGGTCTATTGAAGGTGATTTTGAGGTATGTGGTGTAAAAGTAAAATTAAATTTAAAACAATTTCTATATATTATTACCGTTTACAGACCTCCGGATTATGCTAATTTTGGGGGATTTATTGATCAAATAGAACTATTATTGCACAATCTTTATAGTAATAATAACTTATATGTTATCTGTTGAGACATTAATGTGAATTTTTTAAATCATAGTAACCAAAAAATCAATTTAATTAATACTTTGCTTGGATTCAACATTAGACACCACATTAATGTTCCTACCAGAATAACGAGCACAACATCAACATGCATAGATAATTTTTTCACAAACTTTGATATAGATAATATGAAAGTATGCGAAACCTTTCTGTCTGACCACACATATCAGGTATGCTCTGTAAATTTACCATCCTCTTTTTATAATAACAAAGTCCAGTATATCCACAAACGAAACTTAGATGATCCTAATATATGCACCTTTAAAAATATTTTATCAAAAGAAAACTGGAATGAGATATACACAACTACTGATTTTCATGAAAAGTTTTCTATTTTTTATACAAGTTTTACATATTATTATGATATAACATTCACAAAAGTTAAGAAAAAAATCAAACCACAGAAACATAAGAATCTGTTCTCACCTCAAATAAAAGAATTACATAACCATCTGTGCGAGATGAATAGGTTGAGAAAGGAAATAGATAACCCATATTATACTGAACGCTATAAAAAATTTAAGAAAGAATACCAAATTATAACAGAAAAATATTTAAAAGAGAAAAACAGCAATCGAATCCAAAATAGCAGCAACCGTATGAAAGAGAGCTGGAATATAATAAACGAAAATCAGGGTAAAATTAAAAATAAATCACTAAATGCAATTGAAACTGAAAAAAATGTAGAAAAAGCTAATTTTATTAATAATTATTTTATAAATGTAAATCAAACTAACACTATTCCTGACTATAATATGAAAATAGACAACTTCCATATAAGTTTCTTCCTCTTTCCAACAACACCGGAAGAGGTAATCTCTATTATCCATAAAACCACCTTGAAATCGGCTGAGGGAATTGATGAAATAAACGGCAAAATCATAAGATCAGTAGCCACTCACATTGCTGAACCTTTATCTCATTTGATTAATGAATCTTTTAAATTCGGAGTTTTTCCGGAATTAAAACAGTCTAAAGGAATTCCTATCTATAAAAATAAAGGTTCACCAAGTGATATAAACAATTATCGTTTAATCTGTATTCCAAGTCAAATTACAAAAATTTTTGAATCTGCGTATTCTATAAGGCTTATAAACTATCTTGAACATTTTAAATTACTACCAGCAATTCAAAATGGATTCCGCAGTAAAAAATCTACTGCCAGTGCTATGGCAGCTTGTTTGGATTTTATTTATAGTGCATTAAATGATAAGAAAAATACTTTGGCACTTTTCTATGACCTGAGCCGTGCATTTGACACGGTGGATCATAATCTCTTGTTACTTAAAATAGAAGGTATGGGAATACGGGGAAAACCTTACGATTGGGCTAAATCTTACTTATCAAACAGAACACAAGTAGTTATAACTGATAACAAGAAATCAACTCCTCTCAAATATACAATGGGAGTACCGCAGGGATCAATACTAGGGCCAGTATTTTTTATAATATTTGTTAGTGATATCAATAAATTTTGTACCAGTCCTCATCAGATTATCCAATATGCTGATGATACAAACATTCTTATGGCGGATCATCAATTTGAACACCTTGTGCAAAGCAGCAATAATGCATCTTTTGAATTTAACAAATATTCTAGAGAAAATGGTCTGGCATTGAATGTATCAAAAACTAACTTCATGCGTTTTCTACCCAAGAATACCACCCCAAATCTTGAACCGTACTTACATATTAATGGTAAATCTATACAAAATAGTGAAAATGTTAAATTTTTGGGAATTACATTAGACCCTAAGCTAACGTGGGAAGCTCACATAGATAATATAACTAAAAAAATATGCTCCCATTGCTATGTTATTAGAAACTTAAGAGAAACTGTGACTTTTGATGTATTAAAGCTTCTTTATTATGGACTTGTGCAGTCTACTCTTCAATATGGTTTAATATTTTGGGGTGCATCATCTCACGTCAACAAAGCATTCGTGGCACAGAAAAAAGTAATGAGAGCTTTATATAATGTATCACCCACAACATCATGCAAATCACTTCTTGAAAAATCTGACATTCTAACACTACCATGTCTTTTCATCTACCAATTAATATTGTACGTTCAAGAAAATGAACATACTCTTAACAAAAACGAAAACATACATTCATATAACACTAGACAAAAAACTAACATACATCAACCTTTCTCACGCCTAGAAATTGCTCAACACTCACCCAAGTATATTGGAATTAAATGCTATAATAAATTCAGTAGCATAATAGATAAAAATAATAGTCCCGAAATAGACAAAATAAAACAGTTTAAGAATAAACTTAAAGTATTTTTAGCAAAAAATGTATTTTACAGTGTGGAGGAATTCCTTAATTTTAATCCTTAATTGTTATCTCTAATATATTATTGTGTTAGTTTAAGTGTATGTATTGCAATTAATCTGTATTATATTGTTTTAATTTTAAATTGACTAGTCTGTTAGTACCTACTTATACATTAAAAAATTGTGTTTTGTTTTCTATGTATAATTCTTATGACAAATAAAATTCTATTCTATTCTATTCTATACTACCACACAACCATTTACATTCGTGTGACGACGTCACTAAATTTTATTTTTAATTAATCTTAAAAATGTATATTCCAATTAATTCCCGCCTAAGGATATGTAGAAGATCCCCGTATTTCTGTTTCCTAAGAATTACCGTTTTTCAACAATTGCGAGTACCCTCGTAGGTTAAAATATTCCTATATTTGTTGAAATCCGAATGGGCATTTTTAGAGTCATTTCGTATGAATTATCTACTTTTATTTGTCAAGGTGCTAGAAGGACATTTTTTTATTTTTAAATTGTAAACAGTTGGCTGTAGTAGTGGTATCCCCCACTTACGTTTACCGAAAGCATAAATTCAATCACATCTGGGAATTACGCTCTTTTGATTGGTGGCTGCCGTAAGCTCTTCCTCTTGATTGCCGACAGCCGAAAACTATTCGCCCTTCTATAGTGCCTAGTGAAATACTCCGTGAGTGCCGTGATTTCGAAAGATCATTGAATAACCCCGTTTATGATTTTTTTTATTGACTTTTATATAATTAGTTGGGACACCCGTGCGACAAGTGAAAAATTTTGATTCATATCCAGGATATTTCATTTCATCCCTCAGTGGGAAACCGTTGGCAATTTTTATTTGAGGCTGGACATAGGCTAGACGCTGAGTGCTCTCTCTCCTGACGACGTTATCTGATTTCCCAAAAAGACGTCTAAATTAATTTCCGCGCCTCACTTCATGTAAATTTCTTTTCTTTTATTTTTTTTATTCAGCTGTATTTGAATCATTTCGTTGCCCGTCCACAATTAGTTATTGAACAAAGCCAGACGACTTCCATAAAATTAAATTCACACACGCTCTCGATCGACTCTGGGCAAATTTCAAAATATTATTTTCTACGATCGTCGCCTCCGCCGTCCAAAACACCGCATAAATCCCCAGGTTTCTCACTTGATGAAAATTGCCGCATCCTATCGCTCAAAGTTAAGATACAGGGACGTTCCGAAAACTTTGATTTCATTTATTTGCTTACATTTGATTACCGTCATATTTAAATAGTTTTCAATTGTAATAATTTATTTTTTATAAATTTTCTGGATATAGGGACCATCAATATTTAAATAGTTTTCAATTTTAATAATTTATTTTTAATAAATTTTCCGAATACGGAGATCCATCAATATTTAAATAGTTTTCAAGTGTATTAATTTATTTTCAATAAATTTTCCGTATACAGGGAGTTTCATAATTCCCGGACCGTTTGGCCTCCTGTGCTAGCGAACCGTAATTATTTCTCAATATTTAAATAGTTTTCAATTGTAATAATTTATTTTTAATAAATTTTCCGACTACAGGGATCCATTAATATTTAATTAGTTTTTAAGTGTAATAATTTATTTTTAATTAATTTTCCGAATACAGGGAGCCGTTAATATTTAATTAGTTTTCAAGTGTAATAATTTATTTTTAATAAATTTTCCAAATACAGGGAGTCGTTCATATTTTTTTACCGTTGTATTATTTTGTAAATATATATTTTATTACCTACCTATTCCTGTGTTTCTCTTATTGCTGGTTCTTAACCGTTCTCTTTCAGGGTACCGTAGGGTACGAGGTGTAAAGGAGATAAGTGTTTTATTTTTATTTAATCTAGTATAGTGGCTACCTAGTAGTGACCGCCTGAAATTATTTTTACTGAGTTCACTTTGAGTACACTCTGGTGTACCACAGGGTCGCAAAGCAAACTGCGATACCAAAACTGGCGCCTGAGCAACCCCTATTCGAGAATCACCTTCATAGCGCCACACAGACTCGCTGATTCACTGTAGATGAACCAGAAGCCTGTCACATTCCGAATACCACTCTTTCGAAATTTTCGCACAAAGACTTTGTCTTTTGACTTAGTTTTGTTGCTTACATTTAGTAGAGGTTCAGGTTTTGACGAATTTAAAATCTTTTTTATCCTCACTTCCCCATCTACAGAATGGCATCTTCAATAGCAGACATACTGGATCATGTACTGGAAAAATTGTTAGAAAAATAAAAAAAAAACTCGCAATAGTCGCAATTGACGAACTAGTCCAACCACTGTATAAAAATAGTCCCGACCGGAAGAAGCAAACTGAATCAACTTGTCAAGTGCATTCATTAATCGGCTAGATCGAAACGTGCCGTTACCATGGCAACCACCATAAATGCGCCGATAGAAGAGACGCGTGTTCGGCGGTTTTATGCATAGCGCGTCGAGCGCTCCATTCGCTCGATATAGGAAATCTTTCTATTGTATTATATTTTCAAAAACAAGCGAGCCCGGACAGTCAAATTTTTTTTTATCAAGCGCCTCGTTTGTTTCATGCAGTGGTACAGATACCCCGAAATTAGGTACATTTTTAGAAGTTTCTGTTTTGTAATTTGTATAGAGACAAAAATGCATTACAGAAAAAGAAATATTTAGCTATTCAGTTGATTTTTTATTAATTTCTACTGAAATTTTGATGAAGTAGCGCGTCACCTGGGTCATCTAGGAGCTACCACTGCTAGCAGAGGCGTTTCTTGGAAATATATTTAATTTTAATAACTCTTCAATTGTTAGTCAAATAGAGTAAATAACTAAAATAAGTTAGCGCTTGCATTGCTATAATTGGGTTGTTTGTAATGTACCATAAATGCTCAAATCCTTTGTCTAATTTATATTTTGTTCTTATCACTGTAGCCTTTAGCCTTGTAATAAAGCATCCATTCGAAAACTATTTGCCTTGTACCAATTGGTGGTGGGTTTTAAAAAGAGTGATGTAAGTTTCTAAATATTTCAAATATTTTTGAATATTTTGTACCCTTGTAATCCAGTACTTTTTCGGTCGGTTCTCCCTCTTAATTTTAGTTGGTTTTTAATCACGTGAGATTAACAAAATGCATAATTTATAATCACATATTTTATGACTTATATTTTTTCTTTTTTTTTTGTAGAGTTGGCAGAAAGTTGATATCAATACTGCAATGTTCACTCCAGATCTCACACCATTAATTCTGGCAGCACATAGAAACAATTACGAAATCTTGAAAATATTACTAGATAGAGGAGCTACTGTTCCAATGCCTCATGACATTAAGTAAGCTATTTTAATAACGTACTAAGAAGTACGACTACTCTGATTTAAGTGTTGACATTTAATTTTTTTATGCATATTTTATGAACGGGTCTTATAGATTTACATTATTTTAGTTTTAAATAAGAGACCACAACATTATCATTTATTAGTAAATTCAGATGATATTCTATTAATTTTTCCTTGGTAATTTTTACGTTACACTTTCCAAAAAAACAATGAAATAAAAAAAATACATACCTCGATAATGACCTTAGATTAAAGAGACCGAAGATGTAACATTGCGCATGTTGTCTATTCCAACCTTAAATAACCAACCCATTAAAAATCATTGTTTTCCCGACGCAACCCGAATTGCTCCAACATTTTTATTCTACGCTTATCTCCGCGTGAGGGAATCATCCTGGACCGCCGTTTCTGGAATAATTTGTTGCTATTATTAGCAATTTAAGGTATTTAGTTATTCAATTTCAAGTTGAAAATGCCACAATACATCGTGAAAAGTTGTATATACAAATAATATAAGTGCCAATGTTATGAAAAATAAAAGATATATTCGTTTTCAGCGGTAAATATTTGTTAACGTTTTGACATAAAGCCGCCATAATTCTTTGGGCTGAATACTTCAGATTCGCATTAAGGGATTTCAATAAATATTAAGAATCAAATATTTTTCTGAAAACAGATTTCATAATACTTACATAAATTTATAAAAGGGCAAAATTTGAACATTTAATTTAAATAAGAAGTAAACAGGCATTGTTGCTAACGAAATTTTGTTTTTAAAATGTAGTTTTTATAAGAATATTAGACAAAATACAGAATGACCTACTTAAAATCTCAAAGTTTATCTTATTTGCGGTCAAATTGGAAGTGAAATTTGAGTTTTACGTCTTAATACAAAGTAAAATACGGGTTTTGAGAGGCCTTGAATCATCACCCTGATTCTGATACTTATGTTAAAGGTATTTTTACAGCATTTTCTCATTTCGACTAATTTTTAATTTTGTGTAGTAGCTGTAAAAACATGTAATGTTTCTCACAGGGTTTGATTTGCAGTATTCCCCTGCGCACCAACTGCTATTATAATACTGGTAAACAATGAGTACCATTCCTTGCTCGATTGACAATATTTTATTTCAACCTTTTATTGGAGTCGTCGTAAATAAACAGTAATGAAATATTCTATAAAAGAACTTTTGTCTCCTCTTTACATAAAATGTCGTTGCATCTCTTTGATATTAAAAAATCACCCATATATAATTTCCTAATACATTTCATTAAACCCTTTTTTTGTAAATCTAATAAACAAAGGCCGTCCCTGTCACAGAGTTCGGGTCTTCTCCCAGTTCCCCCACTCCGTTTATCTTTCGTTAGATATTGGCAACATTCGCGTAGGCTAAACACCGGTACGCGTTACATCTCTAGTCTCTTTAATCTTAGATAAAAGAGATCAGAGATATAACATACACCGGTGTTTAACCTGCGCAAATGTTGCCAATTTCTAAAGAAAGGTTAACGGAGTGGGGGAACTGGGCAGGCACCCGAACTCTGTAACAGGGACCGGACTTTGTTTATTAGCATTATAATGAACTACTAGATTTATTTAAAATATACGTTTAATGGAATTTTGTATTATGAAATAAATTTAACGTGATTTTTTAATATCAAACAGATGCCACGACATTTTATGTAAAGAGAAGACCTTTTATAGAATATTTCGTTAGCTATTATTTACTACGGACTTTTCTGTAAGAGACTACAGTAAAATGTTGAAATAGAATATTGTTAATCGAGTAAGAAATGGTACTCATTATCTAAGAGTATTATAAAAAAAGCATGTGCGCAGGCGAATACTGCAAATCAAACCTTGTGAGTTGAACATTATATTTTTTCTACGACTATCACATAATATTAAAAATTAGTCAAAATGAGAAAATGCTGTTATTAACCTCAGAAAAGATATATTAAAGCTTGTTTCTTTAGGAATATTAATTAATATAGAGGATGAGTCACACAAAACTCTAGAAATGCATATGTCTGAAACCAGATAACATTTTAAAATTTAAACCTATTAAAAGTCATTTGGTCGCTAGGAGTGGGTGATTATTGAAATACATTATTGATCATTATTAATAATCGATTATTTTCGATCAATCGATTATTTTCAAACAATCTATTTTTGTTCGTATTTCCTTTAAAATTGACTAATTGATTATCTTTGAAAAAAAAAAATAATAGATTAATTAAATAGCCAATTAACCCATAAATCAGTGTTTACAAAAAATAATAAACGAATATATATTTTAAATAATCGATTATTTTTAAATAATCTATTTTTTTTCGTATTTCCATTGAAACATATTATTTATAATCTTTGAAAAATATAAAATAATCGATTAATCAAAAATATTCGATTAATTAAAAAGTCGAATAATCGATAAATCGATTTTCCAAAAAAATAACTGAATTATCGATTATTTTCAAATAATTCTTTTGTTTTCATATTTCATTTAAAATTGATTATTTGATTATCTTTGAAAAATTAAAAATAATCGATTAATAAAAAGCTGATTGGCCGATAATTCGATAATTCTAAAAAATAACCGAAATATCTATTATATAAAATAACCGATTATATTCGATCAATCGATTATTTTCATATAATCTATTTTTTCGCATTTCTTTTAAAACAAATTATTAGAATACCTTTGAAAAATTGAAAATAATCGATTAATCGACAATGTTCGGTTAATCGAAAATAACCGATTAAGCGAAAATAACCAATTAATTAAGAAGCCGATTCTACGATAAATCGATTTTCCAAAAAAAAAAAAATAACTGAATTATTGATTATTTACAAATAATTCTTTTCTTTTTTATTATTCCTTTTAAAATTGATTATTTAATTTTCTTTGAAAAATTGAAAATAATCGATTAATAAAAAGCTGATTGGCCGATAAATCGATAATTCTAAAAAATAACCGAAATATTTATTATATAAATAACCGATTATATTCGATCAATCGATTATTTTCATATAATCTATTTTTTCGCATTTCTTTTAAAACAAATTATTAGAATACCTTTGAAAAATTGAAAATAATCGAATAATCGAATATATTCGGTTAATCGAAAATAACCGATTAAGCGAAAATAACCAATTAATTAAGAAGCCGATTCTACGATAAATCGATTTTGCAAAAAAAATAACTGAATTATTGATTATTTACAAATAATCCTTTTCTTTTTTCATATTCCTTTTAAAATTGATTATTTAATTTTTTTTGAAAAATCTAAAATAATCGATTAATAAAAAGCTGATTGACCGATAAATCGATAATTCTAAAAAATAACCGAAATATCGATTACATAATATAACCGATTATATTCGATCAATCTATTATTTTTTGTATTTTAAAACAAATTATTCGAATACCTTTCAAAAATCGAAAATAATCGATTAATCGAAAATATTCGGTAAATCGAAAGTAATCGATTAATTTAAAAAGCCGATTAAACAATAAATCGATTTTTCTAAAAAGTGAACCTGTATTTCATATAATATTCTTGTAAAAATACCTAATAAAGGGCTAAAAACCACCTTTAGTAAATATTCTTATAAAACTACTTTTTAAAAACAAAATTTCGTTGGTAACAATGCCTATTTACTTCTTATTTAGATTAAATTTTTAAAAGTTTACACTTTTCTAAATTAATACATTATGAAATCTACTTTCTGAAATATTATGTATTTGATGCTTAATATTTATTAAAGCCCCTTAATGCGAATCTGAAGTATTCAGTTCAAAGAATCATGGCACGGCATAAGAAACAATCGGCAGGCTCACTTGCCGCTGATCGCATACAAATATTATACTAAGAAAATTTGACCTTGGCGACGCCATTCGGGGATCTTAGTCAGGGTCGGATTAAAGCGTATTTAAAGATTTTGTAATAAAATAAGGTATTGATAGGCAGGATCGTATTAAAACAAAAAAGCTCTACAGATTGCGCCAAATAATTAGCTTGTTTTTATTGATGGTCTTAAAATTTTTATTAATATTTTTAAAGTGTAATATATGAGCAGCCTTAAATATAACTTAGGACCGATTCCACCGTTGTCATTCCACCAATGTCAATTTAATCTCCGTTTAACACAACGGTGGAATCGACCCTTAATAACATATATTTATGGAAATCGGGGACAAGGAGCGTCAAATGTTATCTCGGAATTAATTAAATCTAAAAAAAAATTTCAAACGCCGGATTTAGTGATAAATAATTCAAAATTGTGTTGAAAAATTATTTCAATTTTTGTTATTAAACATACAAAACTATTATTTGATATTTTTAAATTGCCAAAAATATCTTCATTTGCTTTTTTTGTATGCTTTATAATAACAATACATGGAGCTTGTATCCAAGTCTTCGTGTGGTAAGGCATATTGTGTACATACATCGCAACGTTGAATTTTAAGACATTTTTTTATTAAAAATCCGCATATATAATAAAATTTTCTTAAAAAATATTAATATTTTGTGCATGTAATTCATTAATATGCTTGTTTATATTTACATTTTCGACAATATTGCCACCATTACACGCTATTTTGGAAAATGGCTCATCCTTACTAGTCCTACGAATTTCATGCAGCCTTACAAGTAAAGCATCCCCACCTGTTTCGCAGTTTTCAGTTCCAGAATGTAATAAATTTAAACATTGCAATTTTTTGGACGTCCTTTGAAATTGGACCGATGTAAGGTTTACACAGTTACTATCATGGAGGAAGGATACTTAAGAGTTGCAGATTCCTCACAGAAATTTGGCAGCATGTTTACCTTCAGCGACATATGGAATAGTTTTGTGCAATTAATACTCAGTCCGTAATATAGAAAGATGTAATGCTATTTTTAGTTTGAAAATTGGCGGGATTTTGAATTTACTTTGACAAAATATAAGAATTTTACATTTTTAATAGCACTGCTTAAGACACATGATT